CCACTGGTACTGGTGCCAACTGCTTTTTTAACAAGGGTGCCAAGGGTGCCAATGGAGAATGAACAGTCAAGCAAACTGCTGCACGAACACATTATCCACATGCCAAATAGGGAATAGAGTAGTCAAGAGCCAGGGCAGGGAGGGGAAAAACAAAGTCACATAGGGGCTGGCACTAGGGGCTTGTCACTGCTCAACAGTGGGGCAGTCTGGGCAGCCCTAGTGCTGCGGGACTGCTTTCAAGCAGCACTGAATAGACAACATGCTGGAGACCCCAGTTTGGACTGATGGGAACTTTCCCAGAAAAGCTGGAGTCCCCACAGGAGATGGCTCATGGGCAAGTATGGCTGAGACCACAGACTAGCACAGAGACAGCAGGGAATGCCCAGACTGACAGCAGAACAGCCAGTCTCCAGAGAGCCACACTTAGTGTTTACACGAATGCAAGTTAGAAAACATCTGCATGACACTACGGAAATGACACTGAAAAATCTGCAGACAGGTCTTGGGATAAGCACCGTGCTCACTGCCCATCAGGTTCAGACTGCATCATGGGGTACTCTGACTAGCAGGATGCTAACCACTTCCTCCAACCCAACCAGCCCAGAGTTTTATTCCCTAAGCCACCAGCAAGCTAAGCAATCAGAGGCTCTTTGGTTACTGCTTCACTGTGTGTCTCCATGCTTAGAAAGGAGGAAGGCTGCTGAGCGCATGTCTCCCCTCACGCTGGCTCCTTCTCCAGATGAATCCCTCACTCAGAGCTTCATCAAGCGTGCTCATGCAGCCCACAGCTATTTTCATATTCTCTTAAAATAGAAAAACACCTTGTGCTTTTGTTGTATGACACAGGGTATCTCTGTGGAGGCCATGCTGATCTGGAATTCAAGACCCTCCTGACTCAGCTTCTTTTTAAAATTTTATTTATTTATTTAATTGTGAACATACTATACAGAGGGGTTACAATTACATGGGCAAGATAATGAGTACATTTCCTATCAAGCATTGTAGCCTCCTCCTTTGTTTACCCTTCACATCCCTTCCCAGCCTCCCCCCCCACCCAAACCTCCCCCACTCCCCACCAAAGTTGTAAAGTTCGTTTTTAACATGACAACTTGTACTTCTCATTGCTGCAACAGGTCCACCTGTATCCTTATTTAAACGACTTGTTTTTCCCCTTCCCCTCCACAATTTTTCCGGCCTTCAATTCCGTTGAAGCAGGGGTTATACTGTGGGGGAGGGACATACAAAGCAACAAAGAAATAATCTTATAAATGCGTTTGAAACAAATGCATGAAAGAAAAAAACATTTGAATACATATCTTAGGGTTCATTTTCCTAACATCACCTTATCTGACCTTTTCTGCTTGACTCATACATATACTAGATATTGCAAATAAGGGAAACCATGGGACTTATGTTTCTTTGGGGTTGGCTTACTTCACTTAATATAATTTTTTCCAAGTCTTTCCATTTCCTAACAAATGGGGCAATGTCATTCTTTCTGATGGAGGCATAGAATTCCATTGTGTATATATACCACATTTTCTTGATCCATTCATTTACTGAGGGGCATCTGGGTTGGTTCCATATCTTAGCTCTGGTAAATAATGCTGCAATAAACATAGTTGTGGTAGTAGCTTTAGTGTGGTCTTGTTTGTAAACATTTGAGTAAATGCCCAAAAGTGGGATTGCTGGGTCATAGGGGAGCTCTATGTGGAGTCTTTTGAGGAACCTCCATACTACTTTCCAAAGTGGTTGAACAAGTTTACACTCCCACCAACAATGAAGTAAGGTTCCCTTCTGTCCACATCTCCTCCAGCATCTGTTGTCATTAGAGTTCTTGATTTTTGCCATTCTAAATGGGATTGCATGAAGTTGCAGAGCTTCTGCATGGCAAAGGACATAGCTAGCAAGATCAATAGAAAGCCTATGGATTGGGAGAAGACCTTAACTAGCCATACAACGGACAAGGGTCTCATATCTAAAATATACTTGGAACTCAAAAAATTAAATCCCCCAACAACAAATCCTCAAAGAAACAACTGCCCAATAAATAAGTGGACTAAAGACTTAGAGAGAAACTTCTCTGAAGAAGAAAGAAGGATGGCCAATAGACACATGAAGAAATGCTCAACCTCCCTAGCCATAAAAGAAATGCAAATCAAAACAACATTGAGATACCACCTGCCTCAGCTTAAGTGCTGGGATTACAGGCCTGCTTCCTTGCCTTGCCCCCAAACATCTTTGTATCTGTTTCAATTTCCCCTGTAGTTAGATTTTTGTCATGCAAAAGTTCAAAGTGGTTTTTTTTGGTTGGTTGTAGGGTTTCTGCTCACCGTTAGCACTCTACCACTTTGGGCTACAGCTCCATTTCTAGTTTCCTGCCTGGGATGGCTTTGAACCATGATCCTCAGCTCTCAGCCTCCTGAGCAGTTAGGATTATAGGTGTGAGCCACTGGTGCCTGGCTCAGTGTTTTTTATGATCAAAGCAATTCTTCTTTCCTTCTGGAGCTCTGGCCTTGTTTCCCATGTGGAGTGTTTCATGATCAGGCCCATTACACATCCCTTTCTGTCACTGGCTGAGAGCCTCTCTGCCTTCCAAGGGGATGCTCAGGGTCTCACATCATCCAGGATCTGCGTTCAAATGCTAACACTGCATTTCCCCTCTCCCCCCAGGAGTGGTTGTGAGAGGTTTGTCGGTCATGGGAGGCCAAAGCCAGAGGCCAGAGCCCAGAGCGGGACATAAGTTTCTCCCTAGCACAGGATCTAAGAATAGCACAGACCTCAGCTTCCTGCTTCTCTGTCCTCAGGCAAGAGCCACCCCATAGTGATGTGGGTTGGGCTCAGAAACCAAACAAACTCCTGACTTTGCTGCTCTTAGTTCTTGCACACTTGTCCACTCAGATACCCCCTCCCCCACTTACCATGTCTTTCCCAGGCACATGCCTCCAACTCTGAAGGCTCCAGTGCTCTCCTATCAAGTAGAAGACTTGCTCATAGAACTCTGTAAGCACTTGTGGCCACAGCAGCAAACAAAGAATGCTGAGACTTTTCCTATTGTGAATCACATTCAAAACTGTCAGCCGCATACACATGATCAAACCCAAACTAAGACGGTAATTTGGATATTTGAGCATCAGTCCATATTTGGTACAAATTCTTCGCTAATTCTCACATTTCTGGCCCATCCTGTAAGATAAACATGCAAGTAGTTGTATAGATGTGTGTGGGGGTGTAAAAGATGGGACAGACCATCTACCACAGCTACTAAGAAATCAAGAACTAATAGTGACAGAGGTAACACCTGGACAGCTCCCTAGCACTGACAGCTGACCAGCATCAATCTGTAAGGTCCCACAACACAATATGATGTCTCTTACAGAATATTCTCAACATGAGGAGGTCCTGAAGACAAAGGTGAACTTAACGTGGGGGGCCAGGGTGGTGTGAGGTGCTCTGGTAGACTGCTCTGCATCCCAAGGGTGGACCAGACTGTGTCCACATGTTAACAAATGACACATGCACGTATTGTTGGGAGTGACTACTGAACAGTGGAACACTTTTGGTAAGCCTCCAGAATTCAATTGGATGCTAGTGGCAGCCTAGACCCTTCATAGGGAAAAGCCTAAATAAACTGTCCAGGATCAGTGACTCTTAGGGGACATAAAGACTGCTGATTCTGGAGGCTGTGAAGCCAGGCAGGGCATGGCTACAGTCTGTAGCTGTGCTGTGGCTCACACCTCCACTGCAGGGTTATAGTAAGTAGCAGTCATCTCAGCATCTCTCTCTCTGTACGGTAGAATCAGGACAACAATCTCAGTTTCTTCCTGAGATATGGATGGCCAACAGGGAGAAAAGCAGTTACAGCAGGAGAGAAGGCTGACCCACACTGCCTTCCAAGTGACTGAGACATACCATGTCATACACTCCTGACACAGTGCTTGGGGCAGGTCATGTGTCACTTCCATGACATGACTTCACTCTGATGATAAGAAAACACCACGCAGACCCAGCAGCGACATTCTAAGGAACATCTGGCCAATGGTCTGTGAATGTCCAGGTCATGAACAATAAGAAAAGCCCAAGCAGCTGCCTTTGAAATACAACAGGGAATCCAGGGAAGCCTGGAAGTGGTTTAAATAAGGAGCATGGTTTAATTAACAGCAATGTACCAACAGCTCCTGGTTTTGATCGCTGTACTAGGGTTGGTGACATTGTGGGGACCAGGGTAGAAACTGAACTGAAAGATGAGAAAATGAAACAACTCAGAGGAAAAAATGGGCAAAAGATATAAATAGACATTTCCCAGAAGAGAAAACACACAGTGCCAACAAACAAACTCAGGGCAATGTCAATTAAGCTACACTGATACAGTTAAGAACTGAAGTCTGGAAATGTTGACTGTTCTCCTGGAAGTCATTTCTACTGTTGGTAGAACCATAACTGGTCCAATTATTTGGGAAATAATTTGAAGATAGACTTTCCATGACCCAGCAGTTAGACACTGAGGCACACATCCTAGAGACCCTCAAACATGAGCACCTGGAGATAAACATGATATATGACAGCTGTCTGTCTAGAAAGTAAAACATGGGGGCTGGGTGTGGTCCCTCATCCCATAAATGTACTCCTGGCTACATGAGAGTGGAAAGTAGGTAGGAGGATCTCGGTCTGATGATGGCAGAGGCAGAAGTATGAGACCCTATCTGAAAAATAAACTAAATAAAAAAGGCCTGGAAAATGGAAAAGCATTTGCTTCTCACTATGGAGAGGACCACTGAGAGCTCCCAGTTCCTGGATTGCATGGGCCTTGCTCCTCAAACAGAAAAACCAATCCAGCCAGAATGAACCGGGCCTCCTCTCAAACCATTTATGTGGCCCAATTGTTCCCCACTGTGCTCCTGTGCTGGTTGGGGACTACTGGGGTGGGAGCAAATCCCGCTTGCCCGTAGGATTCTAAGGCACTGCTGAGGAAGGTGGAGAGAGGCACAAGGCTCACTCACCAGCTGGAACTCGCTGCGGCGGCTGAAGGCCTCCCGGATCCCCGAGTCCCTCCAGAGAGCGCTCAGGGCAGGCACATAGAGCTGGAAGGTGGCTGGCTCCACGGGCAGCCCCGCTTGGTTCTCAAAGGCCATCAGGAACATCCCGTGCTTTTCATTTTCAGAGTGCTGCCAAGGGATGCCAAGCTTGTCCCGCGCGTCCACGAGCACCCTGGAGCCCTGGAAGGAGAGAGAAGAGGAAGACTCGGTTGGGTTCTGATGTGACATCACACACCGGCATGTCCACTCAGCCTTTTGCTCTACTAGGGCCGGGCACCAGGAGGGAACACATCGTAGAAAGATGAATGCGGTGACTAGTCCTGTCACTGCTGATACTTTCAGATCTTTTCCCAGTGTAAAGCCAGCCTCCTGAGCCACAGGCAGAGGCCACCTGCAGCACAGGGTGGGGTTATGTCCGCCATGCAACATCCTGTGTGGAGTGGCAGCTGTGCCCATCAGATGGGAACTCCAAAGTCAGCAAGACAGTATCCACAAGTGTTTGGACAGCATCAGTCAACACAATGCAGAGGAAGAGGAGGGGCATGACGAAGGGCTGGCATATACATCCTCCAGCTGGGAACACTAAGCCTGTTGCTCTTATGTCTTTTCCTGTGATCGAATCCACACGCCACTCACCTGCCTGGGTAGAGTGGACAGCTGTATGGTTTTTAGTGGCTCTTATCCTAAAAATGCCATCCCATCACCTGGGCAGGGCACAGCATCACCTCGGCTGGTAGCAGCTCGACTGCAGCTTTGGGCCTTAAGGAGTGGTCCCATCCTCTCACCAGACCTGGGTGATGGTGCTGTCTGGATAGAGGCCCCTCCCAGCACTCTTGTGGGGATGCGATTATCTTGAGGTGACCTTGCCTACTTCTATCCCCCCACAGGCAATGGGAGAAAATACTTGTCAGCCTCATGGCTGTCAAAGGACTCAGGTTTAGAATGCATAAAGAACACTCAAAACCAAATAGTTCAGTTAGAAAGTGGGCAAAGAACATGAAGAGAGAATTCACAGAGAACGGAACAGCCAGCAAACATGCAGGTAAGAAGTAGTCCTGGTGCCTCCCAGTGCACCCATTAAAATAGATAAAGGGCCGGCAGCATGGCTGGGCCACAGAGCGCCTGTGTATCAAGTATGAGGCCCTAAATCCAAATCCCAGCTCCATCAAACAAACAAACCCCAAATAAAAGACCGTAAACACTAGCAGATCGTAAGTTAAGCTGGCTCTCAGTGGCATTATGCTAAATAGAGCCATCCCTGAAAGCCACAGCTTGTTGACAGAATGACAATATTTTAGAGATGGGGAAAGGGATGTGAGCTCAAAGAACAGCCATTCTCATTGAGGTAGTCACACAAATCTACGCAGGATAAAGGGCAGAGAAGTCCCCTCCCCCACTGCCATCCTAATGTCCATTCCTGGGCTTTGCCACTGTACTGCTGTACTGTAATTATGTCCATCATAACTACAGGCATAACTGGAAATCCCTCAAGACTCTTTGCGACTCCCTGTGAACCTATAATTGTTTCAAAATAAAAAGGATTTAGTAAGTCAAATAGCCACCATAACAACGTGTGCCCCAACCATGTGACATGAAAAAGGAGCCACTAGAGGCCCAAGGAAAAAGTGAGAGCAGGAAGAGAGGAGGCTGGACAAAACCCTGCTTGGAGCTGGGTCAGGGGAGCTTTCTGTGGTGAGTTGGTGAAAACAGGCCGCGGGGCAGGTCAGAACCCACGCAGGGATGCTGCAGTCTGAATTGGTCTTCTACCTTCCTCCTCTCTCAGACCAACTCTGCCCCTGGGGCTTTCTTACTTCCTCTCTTTCTTAGACCCCAAAAGGAGAAAAGCAAATAAGACAGTCTCATCTCCCACATTCTAGCGTGCATTGGGTAGCATTGGTGGCTTTGGGGAGGTTGCCAGCAAAGTCTCCACTCTGCCCAGGTCAGGAGGAGGACCCCTGTCATTCAGGCAGCTATAATCCCAAGCCTAGCAAAGGGAACGCTGGTTACCTCCCTTGGTGGGGGGGCAGGCATTTCAGCCTTGCCCCCTCCTCCAACAGGACCAACCACCAACTAGCTGCAATGGGCAGCCCTGGCCATGCAATGAATAGGACAAATAAATCTGCATTTGACCTCTTCTGTCTAGTGCTGTTGCCACACACTAGGGCTTGGCTTCCCAAGCAGTGCCGGCTCACTCCTGATGGAATCTATAAGCCCTGAGGAGTCCTATTTTTATCTATAAAGAGACTAAGGCAAGCTGGGCACAGTGGCTCTCACCTGTAATCCTAGCTATTCAGGAGGCTGAGATCTGAGGATTATGGTTCAAAGCCAGTCTAGGCAGGAAAGTCCCTGAGACTCTTATCTCCAATAAACAACCAGAAAACTGGAAATGGTGCTGCAGCTCAAGTGGTAGAGTGCTAGCCTTGAGCTGAAGAGCTCAGAGACAGCGCCCAGGCCCAGAGCTCTAGTCCCATGAATGACCAAAAAAAAAAAAAAAGAGACTAAGGCAGGGAGTCAAAATGGACTCAAGAGCCAGGAGGCCACTTAAAAAGACTTTTCCCCAGGCATGTTTGCTCAGCCTGTAATCCCAGCACTCAGAAGGCTGAGGCAGGAAGGGCTATACAGGAAGACTCTCTCAATCAACACCCCCCCCCACCCCGCCCCATACACACAGCTTTTCTAACACTGCATGAAGCAGGCCTCCCCTGGTTACAGGGGTGAACAGAGCTCACACATGCATAACCATCAAGTCTAACAGTGGCTGCTTTCCCCTGCACCAGGCCACCTGAGCAAGCTAGAGCCACCCAGCTGACTGGACCCAGCCCCAAAGAAAAGACTCCTTATTTCTCTTGGTCGGAATCCAAGGCAGTTTGCAAAACTGTGGGTGAACTCTGAGTCACAGCAGTTAACTTGGAGACCCATTTTCTATTCTCTTCTCTCTTTCCCTTGCAGAAAAGACTATTGAGGAGAATGTCTCTCTTTTGCCCATTTAAATTAATCGAGTCGAGAACTGCTCCCTGCCAAGTTTGTTCTGAAAATCAACACTGGGCTCTGGGGAAGCTTTGTACTTTGCCACAACTCATAAAGTTCCGGGTCCAGGCTTGTCTCCTTTTGTGGGGGGGGGAGAGAGCACATGAGGGAGAGAGAGGGATGAACTCTCTGGAGCTTACAGTCTTTGGCAATGCTGTGTTTAATGTAGTTCTGCAGAACTGACTGAAGAGAGCTATGAATACCTTAAAAGTTTAAGATACTAGTAACAGGCATACTAAGACATCTCGCCTCTTCCAATTAAAAAACAGTTAGTTAATATACGAAAGCCAAGAAAATCCTAAAACTCATACACACCTTAAAAAAAAACAAAGGACAGGTCTGGGTGCCAGTGCTTCATGTACAAATCCTAGCTATTCTGGTTGAGAGACCAAGGATCTTGGTTTGAGGCCAATCTCAGAAGAAAAGTCTGAGAGACTCCATCTCCAAAATAACCATCAAAAAGTTAGGTTGGAGGCACAGCTGAAGTGGTGGAGCTAACTAGCTAAGCAAGCAAGCAGAGCAAGTGTGGGGACTGAAGCTTCTTACTTCTTTATTCTCCAGGAAGGAAAAGCCCTGCTTCCAGCACAGTGCGACTGAAGTCTGAATTTGTTGATAGCACACACTTTATTCAGTTGTGCAAGTACAAAAAGTCAAGCTGTTGGATGACTTCAGCTGAATACAATGTAACACTTTACACTGTTCAAAGAGCATTTTTAGGACAACTAATAAACGCAGCCATTTAAACTTGCAGTCAAAGAACAGATTCCCTGCCTGGTAAGAGTGTAGATTTTGGGGGCTTTTGGTTTTCCTGGATGAGGACCAAATCCTGCAAATCCTGTTATCTCGTTTTGAAATAGATTTTGTTAGTGATGCAAGTAAGTATTCGTAGGGTGGTCACTCCTAAGTCCCCAGAATAAACACTATAGAGAAGCCAGGGCAGCGTCTTGCTGCCCTTCAGGGTGTACAGCCAGGAGAGCGCTCAGGATTCGGATGTCCACTCTAGCACGGCGTGAGATGTGGGGTTAAAACCTCACTAAGCTGAGTTGTTTGCCTCTGGCTGCCATCCAAGGCAAAGAAATGCTGCCAGAAATGTAAACAGGATACATTTCTGTAAGTTAATGAATGCAGGGAGCCAAGACCCACAGCTCCTCTCGGTTTCTCTCTGGAACTGAAGTGTAGGGCAGAGAGAGAAAGGAGAGCTGGAGCCAGCATTGCCGGTCCCCAGGCTCCTCCCTGTTCACAATGGGACCCTGGAGGGCATCCAAGTCCAGTGGCTGGTGCCCACTGTCACTCTTCCTGGTTGCCTTCTGGGACACGGGCAGTGGTGTTCAGAACAGGCTCGTATTTCCCTAGGAAGCCACCCACACCGTTCCACCAGCAACCATGCTGGGCTGGCGCAGGGCAAAGCAAAGTGCCAGGTATTGGGAGAAGATCCAAGAGGTGGCAGGCTGGCTCCTGTGCTGAGGGGCGTACAAAGCTTCTTGTTTCAGCAGCAGGAGGGGCTAGGAGAGAAACCCAGGTGCATTGTGGAGAGCTACAAGGTACAGCCACGCCGAGAGGTGGCCAGAAAATCACTGTGGGTACAAGACTCATTTAAAGACAGGTTGAGAAGAGCTAATTTGGACTTTCTTGAGTAAGACATGGAGACAAATGAAAGTTTTGGGAAAAGGCAGGATGAGGCCGGAAATCTGCCTCCAGCCTCGAGGTGGGTGGGGTGAGCCAGCAAAGAAAGGGGAAACATTAAACAGGAGCTCCAGAGCACACAGGGAGTGGCGAGGTGGGTGCAGGGGTGAGTGTCTGGCAAATGTAGCTTTTGGGACAGTGGGAAATCCCAAGAAAAGATCATAGGAAACAGACAGCCCTATGGGCAAAGCTCAAGGTCTTAGCGCAGAAGAGAGGCAAAACTGTCACCATTCACTTAGACTGCCTAGAAATCAAGACAGAAGGAGAGGGAGAGGAGGGGGAGGGAGGGAGAGAGGAAGAGAGGGAGTGGGGAGAAGGGGAAAGGGAGAGGGAGAGAGCAAGAGAGTGAGAGAGAGAGAGAGAGAGAGAGAGAGTGAGAGAGAGAGAAAGTCTCTGATTCATTCTAAATTCAGATTTCCAAAACTGGAAATGCAAAATTCTTACTGTTTCAGAACCCAAGACCTGAAATC